GCATTCTGGACTCCTATGGTTCCTCAAACAGGCCAGATGCAGTTCCTCCTCAGGGGTTCTGCATTGCAAGTTCAGGTCGCCTGGTGTCTTTGCACAAGTATTTGCATGGCCCACTCCCTTGCTGCTCTCTGCTCAAATGCCACTTGGTCTGGGGGTCTTCTCTGGGCCCTCTATTAAAAACAGCACCCGGGCTGGGCACGGTGGCTCACACCTGTAATCCCAGCACTTTGGGAGGCCAAGGCGGGTGGATCCTGAGGTCAAGAGATCGAGACCATCCTGGCCAACACGGTGAAACCCTGTCTCTACTAAAAATATAAAAATTAGCTGGGCATGGTGGCAGATGCCTGTAGTCCGAGCTACTCAGGAGGCTGAGGCATGAGGATCGCTTGAACCTGGGAGGCGGAGGTTGCAGTGAGCCAAGATCACACCACTGCACTCCAGCCTGGCAACAGAGTGAGGCACCGTCTCGAAACAAACAAACAAAAAACAAAAACAGCACCCCTGCTCCTTCATGCTCTATCCCTTTACCCTGTATTATTTTTTTCTGTAGCACTTAACATATTTAAAGTACTTTAATAAATTTTACTGTCATCCCTCACCAATCCCTTACCCCAAATATAAGCTCCATGAAGGTCAAGAATTTCTTTAATTTGTTCACTAGTATATGCTGAGTCTAGAGTAATAGGCACTCCATAAATATTTGCTGAATGAATGAATAAAATATATAAGCAAAGGTCAGGTGCAGTGGCTCATACCTGTATCCCAGCCCTTTGGGAAGCAGAGGCGGGTGGATCACCTGAGGTCAGGAGTTCAAGACCAGCCTGACCAATATGGTGAAACCCCATCTCTCCTAAAAATACAAAACTTAGCTGGGCATGGTAGTGTGCACCTGTAATCCCAGCTACTTGGGAGGCTGAGGCAGGAGAATCACTTGAACCTGACAGGTGGATGTTGCAGTGAGTTGAGATCATGCCATTGCACTCCAGCCTGTGTAACAGAGTGAGAGTCCATCTCAAAAAAAAAAAAAATATATATATATATATACACACACACACACACACACATATACACACACATATATATACACACATACATACACACACACACACACACATACACACACATATATATGTGAAAATTTAAATCCTGAAGCTTGGAACTAGGGTAACTGTGAAGGCATGCTAACCAATACATTCCTTTTTAAAATGTGATATTCCTAGTTACCACTGGGTCCTAGAGAAAGAGAGTATGGTTCTGGACTTCAGAGAACTTAAAATGTTAATAAACACACATCACTAGTGAAAATTATATGACTGGCTGATATTTCACTTTCATTAAGACTTTAGATTCTCTAAAATAATTAAACCTACTTTTGATAAAGTTAATACTTCCTACCCACTGAGTATTTAATTAGCTGTGTTAGAAAAGAAATTTGAAGATCTACTACGCTCTACAAGAATTATAGGGAAAGCATCTTACACGCAGGGGAGGAAATTCCTAAAGTGGACAAATAAATAGTCAAATTTAAATTAAAAGAAAACTATGCCAAGTGACAACTGCTCCATTATCGGCCACCTCGAAATTGCCATGTTGAACACCACCAGGACCAGCTACTCCAGCTGCTTGAAGTCACTGTAGACCATGACCAGGGAGACCACGGCTTCCACACAGACGCTAAGCAGGCTAATGGTAGGAAGCCCATGCAGTTTTTGTCCAGGCCCACACTGACTGTGACTGCATGGATGTGACTTGCCACGTGATTCCTGTTGTTTGGTAGCAGCCCCTTTGCCACCTGATATTTATATATTTTTATCATTGCCTTTAGGAATCTGTTTGTCCAACTGAAAAAGGGATCATGTCACCAGTTCACTTCAGGTGTTAAATGTATTTGTAAATGATGAAAGAGCCATGTTATAGAATATTTTGAAAATAAAGAAAAATATTACCCAACTGTTAGCATTTTGGTAATGTTTTCTGTGTAACATTACACAGGGTTAATGTTGTAATTAAACTATGGCTATGCTTCTTACACCCTGGGTTTTCATTCCTATTATACTCATTTTTACCTTACCGCCTCATCCTAAAATGAATAATACTGCTTCATAATGGTGTTTTAGTGGTTGCCTCACATTCAGTTAAGTGGATGAACCATAATTGACAACCATTTTCCTATTGTGAGACCTTTAGTCACAACAGCTCTGCCCCTGCCCCCAGCTTTCTGCTATTTGAAACTGCAATTACTATCTTCACATTTCTAAAGTATCTTCCATAGTTTGCATAATTGTTTACTATAAATGTCTAAAAGTGGGATCCGTGGTGGGGAGGAAAGGGTTAACTGAGCAGATCTAGGCCACTTAAACCGTGCACATTACCAAGGAAGGGGGATTTTCATGACTGGACCTTGGCTGGCTCCTCGGAACTGAGCCCTTGCAATATTCTGACTGATAAGAGCATTTTGCATGCTGGGAGGTGTTCAGCCACACTGTACTCCATTTAGTTTATCCTAACAATGTGATTTACAGTGAACACCTGCGTTCCCTCTGGGGGGTGGAGCTTCAGTAACTGAGGTCAGCCATGCAGGCACTGTATGCATATGTGACTGGCCATCAACAAAAAACTCTGGGCCACCAGTCTCAGGTGAGGTGTTGTTGCGTGTGTTATCACACATCCTTGCTGGAGGAATTAAGTACATCCTCTGGGACCTCACGGAGACTCTACTGAGACAGGAGTCTCAGAAACTTGTGCCTGGAAGTTTCCTCTCCGTGCACAATCACATGTGAGTCCATTTAGTAAATCATCAAGCTTGGAGACCCTTGACACCCCTGGCTATACTGATTGGCATTCAGTTGCAGATAATGGAAACTACTCTAGCTGATTAAAGCAAAAAGTGTTTATTATCATGTATTCTATGACTTCCAAAATTGTTGAAAATTGTTTACTAGCATGTATTCTGTGGTTTCCAAAGATGTTGGAATTGCTAAAAAAGTAGATGCAGCTTCCAGGAACCATTTCTAGCACCAGCATTTCACTGCTTCTGCCAGAATTAGAAAGCCACCAAACTAATAAGCTACTTGCTATAAAAATCATACTGCCTTAGCTAGGATCCATGTCAGCAAAACGCGTGCCTTACATCTTACCTTGCTGCCCTCTTAACTCAGTTCTGAATCCGGGCATCTGAATGACAGCCATATCTGACACTGTAGCTGCAGGGGCATCTGGAAATGGAGCATTTTGCATTTACAGTGCTCAAAGATACAAGCAGGAAATTAGAATTTATGCTGAGTGAGCTAATCCACAGTATCTAACACATTGCATTCAAGGGTATGAACATTTTAACGTTTCTTGGTAGACAGGGCCAAACTGCTTTTCCAGAAGGTTGGAAAAATTCACAATAGCAATAGCAATGAATAACGTTCCATTTTTCCAACACTTTATAGTTTCCTAATGAGGGAAAGATAATCTCAGCAGACAAAAACAAACACTAAGTCATAAGGCACTGTGTGTGCCCACTCTTTTTCTTGCTCTGTTTTCTTTGAAGAAGCAGATTTCTTAAGATTGTGGTTAGGAGTAATCCCTTGCTTGAAAGCTGGGAATTATAAGTCGATCTACAAATCAACTATTCTATGATGGTGACTTAAAAACAAACAAACAAAACCAAAGCAAGGCACTCATCTATGCAATGCTGGGCTAAGCAATTTTGGTTATTGTTGAAAAGTACTGAATAAAGTAAGGGGAAGGCTAATTTTACTTTTATAAGTCTAATTTATAATTTTCTGTTCCCACAGTGAATTGTCAGGTTCCTCATCTTGGTCTTCCTCCAGGCCCTGCATCTCTTCAATCGGTCCTACATAATTACCACTGGTTGCCTTAGAAATAGGGATTTGGGCTTGGGGTCACAGCTGCTTTGATCTTTGAGGTTGAGATTTCTGCTTGAGAATTTTAGCTATTGAAAGATGTAACATCTCATCCAGACGTCCAGGAAAATAATAACTGTGATGGAGATGTTTATATACACAAGGGATGGCATCAATAATAATGACATAAACTTCCTAATTCCTCAAAGATACTTACAACTTCACAATTACTGGGTCACGGAACACTTCGTCAATTGGTTAAACAGCGATAGAAAATGAATACAGGGTATTTATGATACACTGTCACAATGAGATCCTATTCTACATATTACATGTGTATGTAGAGAAGAACATTGCACAGGAAGAATGCTAAATGCTTATAGCAGTTATCACTGGGGGTGAGACAGTGAGTGGCTTTTACTGTATTCCTTACATATTCTGGATTGTTTGAAAATTCTAAAATGAGCACATCTTACTTTAATAAAGATTTTAAAAGGTGAGAAAAAAATCACTAAAAAAGTATTTGCCAATACCTTAAAGGGTTGTAGTAGATTTAAATTACGTAATTGGTAAGAATGTGTTTTTGTAGATTATGTACTATTATGAAAATACAATGTAGTAAATTTTCCTAAGTCCATGATCTCCCCTCCTTACTTAGAATTAATGGGTCTGAAGCCTTTAGGTATGTTTAGTTTAAGAATTTTATTTTAAAGGAATTTCTGTGGCATAACATAATGTTTATGGTACTTTTACTGAAAGTCACTTATAATGATCAAATTATAACAATTTTTGCAATAAGCTCTCATTAAATTTTCCTAAAAGTAGAAAAAGTACACATTATATACCATTTTGAACTTAATTATTTCTTTAAAATCTCAAAATAATTCAGTGTAAAATGTTAGTTTCAAAGACAATTTATGGGAAATTATAAAGCAACTATAAAGTTCTTTATAATAAATCCAAGATAAAAGTAATTTTTTACAGGTTGAAAATTTTTCAAAATGCCTAAGTGGATTATAAATACATTTTGGCCATCTGATGAATTTAGAGGCACTTTAAAAGGTGTCTAGTTGAACTACTACAGATAGGACATGTTTGAGGAAATTTAATTTAATCTGTAAGTCTAATAACACCAGTGTTCATTTCTTCCTGACAAAACAAGAAATTTATTGGAAAAATCCATGAGCAGCATGATTAGTTTGATTTCTTTTTTTCTCTTTTTTAAGAGACAGGGTCTTGTTCTGCCACGCAGGCCACAGTGCAGTGGTGTGATCGTAGCTTACTGCAGCCTTGAATTCCTGGGCTCAAGTGATCCTCCCTCCTCAGCCTCCCAAAGTGCTGGGATTATAGGTGTGAGCCACCATGCCCAACCTAGTTTAATTTCTTCATAAAGATTCTTTTATAAGTTGTGCTAATACCTGGAAGGCCTAAAACAGAAAAAAATATTAGAATTAATTAAATTAGGATACTACATTGGAAAACTCTGTAATAACTTTAAAAATCCAAATAAAGAGTATCTGTCTAAGGTTGAGAGAAGGCACTGGAAAGTCAAGTTGAACATCAACTTTATCCGTGCAGGATGCCATCAATGTCTATTAAAATATGAAGACTGAAGTACATCAGATTTCCAGGATTATTTGTTGTTGTTGTTGTTGTTGTTGTACTTGTGGCCTTCAAGATCATTTTCCATTTTATCCGTAACATGAACTATTTTAGATTTTATATAACCTCTCACCTGCATTTTATATAGATTTAATTGCCCAAGTCCACTAATAAATTAAAACAGAGAGAACTTATGAAAAACACATTTAATGACATGAGAATGCAAGTAAATAAAGAACATGCCAAAAATGTCCCTTTCCAAGGATAAGTATAAACTCTTCTCAAGGTTAATGGCACTGTTCAATTTATAGCTCTTCTGTTTTATTTCCACATACACAGCTTATGTTGGTTAAAGCTAGATTGCGATTAAGAAAATTATTCTATTTGACCCTTGCTGATACTTTTTTCTTCAGAGAAAGAGACTGACAGCCATCATGAATTTGTACTTCTGGCTCATATTAATTCATTAAAGGAAAGAAAGAAGTTTTCCTCATAACATGACAATTTACCCAGCTCAGTGGGTTGTGATACATTATTCATGCAGACAATACATTTTAACTCCAATTTAGTCTCATTTCTATAGAAGTCTAGCAACAAAGTAAAATGGGTCTTTGAATGATAGTTCATGACTGGTCAACAAATACCTGAATTTTAGAAACCCAAACAGATATTAAGTAATACTCTAATTCACAAAGTATACACATGCATTAAAAAAATAGAACTGCCAGCTAGTATTACTCTGAAGAGAATACTACACTCACCATATCCATCTGTTCTGGAGAAGCTGAAGAGAAGGATGCTCTCAAGTAAGGGCTAGGAGCTGAGCTATCGATGTAGAAAGCATTTCCAGGGAGCATTAATACCTAAGAGAGTTTGTGGAAGATAGGTAATGTACCACTAAAGAAAAACTCAAAGATAATATAGTTCAGCCTAATCTCAGAGTAGGGAAGGATGTTTTAAATTTAAAAGCAGTTAAAGAAATCACAAGAAAAAGTACTAATTTATATAAAAATTGTGTATGTCATACAATGAACAAAACTAAACACATAGAAACTGAAAAAATGTTCAGAATAAATATGGCAAACACTATCTCTTCTCAAACTGTCAGGAATACAGGAAAACTGAGAACACTCAAATTCTAGCTTTAATGTAGAAAGGACAGTTTACTAAAGAAAGATAAATGGTAACAGATACAAACAAATGTTTAACTAGAAAAGTAATTTTTAAGTAATTAAGTTTGAAAGTTACTTTTAAGCTGGGGCCTGAAAGACAAATTAGGTCAGACAAAAAGCAGGGAGCAGTATTTGAGGGCAAAGATACACAGAGTAAAGGCCCTGAGATGGGAAGAAAATTGGTGCAAAGAACTAAAAGGAGGTAAAAGATGTAATGTATAAAATGAAGGAATAAAAGTATTAAGTAAGCGTGTCAAGATGGGGTGGTCGGAACAGCTGCTGTTCTTGATGGCTACACAGGCAGACAGCTCACTGACGGTAAGCTCCATTTCCTCTTCTTCCTGGGCATCACATGTACCCTATTCCCCAGCCTCTTTCTAGCTGTGTGTGACCATGAGAGCAAATCCTAATCAATGGATGTGAGCAGAAGCCAGGTAAGCGACGTCTAAGGCTGGCCCATACAAATAATCCCATGTGTGATCTGCCACGCTCTTTCCATTTTGTGACCATCTTGGAATCCGTATTGAAGAATGAAAGGCAATGAGATGTAAGAAACACGGGTCTCTGAATCACTGTTGGAACACAGCAGGCTGCAGGTCACATCTTAGAATTATATGTGAGTCAGAGATAAACCTCTATTGCTTATTAAGTCTTTGAGATTTTCAAGTTATCTTCTACGATGGTTAGGGTTGACTAGTATAATCATGATCTTCAAAAGCACCGAGTAACTGCTTGTTACACTGTCTGCTAAAACAAGAGGAATTGGGAGTGACATGATCTGGAGTACTCTGGGGAAAAGATTTCAAGGCAGAAGATGGGTTTCTCCGTCCTGGTTAAAAATAAAATGAAAGCCATCATTTCTCCCAGTAGCATGGATGAGTTTTGGGATGTACTAGAAGCAAGGAGCTGAAAGAGAAGGGAGTGGTAATAATCTCTTTGCAAGATAGCCAACATCTGGGCTAACGAAGTGGGGATAAAGCTGGAGATTATTTAGTAAAGGTAAAAAAAGAACATGTAGCAGGATATATGGAGTAAATGAAGAGGACTGAAGAAGAGTATAGTAAAAACAAAGTCTATATCCTTAGCACCTCACTCAGACATACCTACAGATAAGCACTTACCACATATTTTGAGGATGATGGCATTGACAGAAAAGAAAAGAATGTATCAAATTGATTTATTATACTACAATGTATTATTTGAAATAAGTCAATTAAGTATTTATCAAGTACCTACTATGTGCTGTGATTAGGGTTAGAACAATTAATAAAGTTTGAGTCCTGCCCTCAAATAAGATGGTTAAGAGAGGATAATAGCTTTACCAAGGCGGTGGAGGTAGGACTGAAGTCCAGGCAGTCTGTCTCTAGATCTAACTTCCAGAGCACCTTGTCTTTTAGGCACTAGCATGGCACTTTGCCATCATCAGTCCAATCTGTCCTTTAGTTCTTATGATTCAAGACAAAACTGACTCTAGCAGTAGGTTTCAGTGTGTGTAAAAGACTGACAAACATGCTAATGGCTTTAATTAATGGAGAAGGAATAATTTATCTGGTAAACTGGAAAGTTACACAGAAGAATGTTTAGAATTTTCAGCTTACTTGATGCCCCAAATGAAACCTAAGTAGACTTATAATTTAAATATAGAAAGAGGGAAAAAAAAGAAACCTAGAATACATTCTATGAGCTAACTTTAAGTGAAAAAAAAAATCAGGATACAAACTTTTCTGTATAATTTTAACCATGTAACATAAGTGCACAGCCAAAATACTAAAAGAACAAGCGTTTCAAGAAACTATACTATAAATGGTCACAAAATCTGGGTGGTAAAATCATGGGCTATTTAAAAAATTTTCATTATACTTTTATACATTTTCCAAATATCCTATCATGAGTATACTTTATCTTCATCATCAGAAAAAAAACCCTTCATTTTAAATACCAGTGGCTCTTACTGAGCACTGAGTATGTGCCACATACTAGCCTAAGGGCTTTACACATATTAACTCACTTAATCATCAGAGCAACCCTGTGAGAGAGGGATTCTTACTACCTCTGTTTTACAGACAAAGCACAGAAAGGATAACCTATTCAAGGCCACGCATCCCCTAAAGGGTGGTGCTGGGACTCAAACCCAACAAGTGCGACTCCAGAGACCACGCTCAGCCACTATGCTGATCAGTAGCTGAGATGAACAACCGTATTTCCACTAATTTAGACCAGCTGGATAATTATGTAACCCAAAAGCCTCTTAGATTTTGATAATGCAATAAAATATCTAACATTAGAACATTATGAGTTGGCTGGTGGGCAACAAGAAGCATCTATTTCTATTTCTATTCAAGTAAAATATTAAAGAAAAAGTGTAACTTTTCTTTAGGTTTCCCAGCCCTTCGCCTCCCAGTTTTACCCCCATCTTAACGGCTTTTTCTTCAATCAGTTCTTTTACATCATTAATGCCTTTAACTTTAATCCATAAAAACATTCCAGCAGCAGGAACATGCCATTCTGCCAAACCTACAAATAAAAGAAGAGAATAAATGTCTTCCAAAGTAAAGCATCTTGGATGATATCAAAGTGTGTTGTTAAATGGCGTAAGTGTAGTAAGTAGAAACTAGTATTCCTAAAAAAGTTCCTTCAATTATAGCATTTTAAAAAATATCATTTTGTGAGCCTTGAAAATTGATGTTCTGGATTTTATTTCAAGTTACTACGGGTGAGGGAGGAAGGGAGAGGTAAGGTGGGCAAGTGATAGCTCACGTGTGCATATTTACAACGCAGTCAGTCTTAGGGTAGTGCAAGAAATCCCACTCACCTCTCCTTCACTTAGAACCATACTTAGACAAACATGGCTATTTCAATTTAGAAGAGGATTCTTCCATTATTTGTGGATTCTTCCAGCATTACAACAAATCCTATTATTCTTGTAACAGTTTAGATGTCCAGTGGATTAGCGTTTTTATCAGAATGTAATTAATTATGAAAAGAAATACTTAAAATTCAAGAATTCCAGAAGCAGTTGTGGGCTTTATGTTTCATTGAGTATTAGGACACAGAAATCAAAAACAAAGCCTAATGATTTTTTTTTTTTTTTTTTTTTTTGAGACGGAGTCTCGCTCTGTCGCCCAGGCTGGAGTGCAGTGGCCGGATCTCAGCTCACTGCAAGCTCCGCCTCCCAGGTTCACGCCATTCTCCTGCCTCAGCCTCCCAAGTAGCTGGGACTACAGGCGCCCGCCACCTCGCCCAGCTAGTTTTTTGTATTTTTTTAGTAGAGACGGGGTTTCACCGGGTTAGCCAGGATGGTCTCGATCTCCTGACCTCGTGATCCACCCGTCTCGGCCTCCCAAAGTGCTGGGATTACAGGCTTGAGCCACCGTGCCCGGCCGCCTAATGATTTTTGATTTACATTACTATCTTTTTTAAAAAAGAACTTGCTGTTGATCAAAAGTTTTTCTTCAGTACTATTATGCAAAGTAGTAAAACAGTGCTCTTGTCAAAAAGATACTAATTCTGTTTTGTTTTTTTTTTTGGATGGAGTTTTGCTTCACCCAGGCTGGAGCGCAATGGCATGATCTTGGCTCACTGCCACCTCTGCCTCCCAGGTTCAAGCGATTCTCCTGCCTCAGCCTCCTGAGTGGCTGAGATTACAGGTGCCCGCCATCATGCCCAGCTAATTTGTGTATTTTTAGTAGAGACAGGGTTTCGCCATGTTGGCCAGGCTGGTCTCGAACTCCTGACCTCAGGTAATTCACCTGCCTTGGCCTCCCAAAGTGCTGAGATTACAGGCGTAAGCCACCACACCCAGCCACTAATTCTGTTTTTACCAAGACTTTATAGAAAATAAGATAGGACAGAAATAAGGAATTGCTATTTTTGGTTTACTATTATTTATATCAAAGGCATTTTAGCAATACAATTAAAGCCATGTGATTAATTTGACCTTCATAATAGAAAAATGAATCTAAAACATCTTGTAATCAAGTTACCAATAGATAATACTACAGAGATAAATGAGGTTAATGATTAGAAGGCAAATAATGTATCAATGAGACATCTGCCTTTGTACAGTTTAGTTAGAAGAAGCATGGTTTGACAATTTTACTTTGGGTTAAAATTCTGAAATAACTAAAATTTTTGAAAATAGATATTATTAAGCTTTAAGTAAGTTAGAGGTTGATTTTTAGATTTTTTTTTTTTTTAAATCACAAATTCTTTGCAGCAGACAGGTAAAGTGGATAGGAAGGCCTGTGCCCAGGTTTATCAAATGTTGCTTCTAAGATGATTTATGGTGTAATGTTTCCTTAGCAAGAATACTCCTGGACTGTTTCTTTTCCACCAGGATTGTTAGTAATATGCAGTGTTTAGCCCCTACTCTTACAGGTGCTACTGTTTATCATGAGGATGGAATACGTTCCACTCACCAGTTAACCACTTGTCTGCAGCTGCCAATATTGCATCCTTCTGGTTACTATAGAAATCAGTAACCCTAGAAGAAGAAAACAATGAAATAGATGTGCTCAGTACATTGATTGCAGAAGCAAAAAAGGCTCCAGAGTCCAGGCTATAAGAATTTGTTTTCTATCTTGATTAAAATGTTGAATGCTTGATAGAAGAATGGAGCATATTTGTTTCACTTGTCTGGTGATAAACTTTTAACCGCTGTGTTTTTTCCTTCATTGTAGAATAATTACAAAATAAAAATTCAAAAAGAGAAGTCCATTTCTATGTAAAATATGGAACCTAGAAGTAGCAGGATCAATCTTTGCATTTAGTTATCTAAATACTGGTTCTCATCACTCAGGATAAAAGACAATACTATTGAAATAATGAATCACTGGTCTGGGAATGCAAATACCCAATTCCTCCTTATTTCTAAATGTCCTAGGAGGTACCACATTTACACAGCTAAAGTAATCCATAACTTGTACCAATATACAGACTATTTAGGGAAATTATGTTCACAATCATCTTTACTTGAGCCAAATCCCATGTCATGTATTCTTCATAATTAATCATTATTAAATAAAATATTTCTGTGTATGAATAGTTTACCCATTAAATCATTTAAGTAAGTAAATCCTAACCTGGTGGGAATTTTGGACTACCTTAGGAGTGGGTGGACACTGCTTTCAAACCACACCTTGGATGCTGAGAAGACTTGCTAGGTGAAGAGCTAATAAAATGAATAGACTTTTGACTTATAGTAGACCATTCCTATTGTCTCTCCTTTCCCAGGATACTTAGGAAGGAAGAATAAATCAATACTGTAGGTGATCTGTATTATGTTCACTGGGCTCCTATTTTGTTCATAAATATTTAAAGAAATGATACAATACCTATCTACATGAGCCATGAAACCCTCTTCTCCCCAATCATGTAGAAGCTGTGATATCATGAGCTAAAAGAGAGAAAATCAAAAATACCATGTTTCATCCCCTGAAAATATAATTTTTGCCATATATAAAAGCCAATCACTTTTGATTACATGTAAACCACCATAAGATATAACAAGCTGAGCCTAGCTTATATAGTCAGTGATTTAAAACAAATGTCAATTAATAACAATGACAATACTAGTAAAAATAACAAATATTGATACAGTACTTGTTATGTAGCAGGCACTATTGTAAGATACTAATATATTTTACCAAATGTAATCTCCATAAATTTCTATTTTACTAATGAGGCACAAGGGTTAAGTTAACTTTTCTGAGTCCCACAGCTTGAATTCAGTCAGGCTATCCAGCTCCTGACCCGTGCTGTTAATTGCCATACTATACCGCTTCTCTAAATATAAAAATGTACAGTAGATATGTAAAGTTACATGACATATTTGGAGATTTTCTATTTAAAATAGAAATTCTAGGCTGGGTGCAGTGGCTCACACCTGTAATTCCAGCACTTTGGGAGGCCCAGCTGGAGGATCACCAGAGGCCAGGAGTTAGAGACCAGCCTGGCCAACATGGTGAAACTCTGTCTCTACCAAAAATACAAAAATTAGCCGGGCATAGTGATGTGTGCCTGTAATCCCAGCTACTTGGGAGGCTGAGGCAGGAGAATCGCTTGAACCTGGGAGGCAGAGGTTGCAGTGAGCCAAGGTCATGCCACTGTACTCCAGCCTGGGTGACAGAGCAAGACTCTGTCTCAAAAAAAAAAAAAAGTTTAAAATGTTATAAATTGATAGTGAACTTCTGTTGATAACAGACACAAAAATACGTGAACCGCCGTTGATAACAGATACAAAAAATATGAAAAAAGTCCCCAACTTGGCAAAACATGGGGCCATCTGCACTTTATGGAACATACATCAAACAAATGTCCTATTCTACGCAAACTTTTCTGTTCTATTCATTCTTGCAAGGTTGTGTTACAGAGGGATCCAATAATTTCTCAAAGTTTGTAAGGAAATTTACATATTCTCTTAAATTAATTTTACTTTATTTTAATTAAAACGCATTCCAACCAATTTCTTTAGGAAAGATTAGCATGTCTGCAAAGAAGGCAAACTATAAGTCACTAAACAGGTTTGGAGTTTCTGTTCTCTACCATCTATTTTTTTAAAAAAATTCTGATCTGATTACCAAAAAAAAAAAAAAAAATATTTCCTAAATTGTCCTTACCTGGTTGAAAGTGCTGGGGTGCAATGTTGAAACTTGTATGTGTAAAATAACTCTCTCTATTAAGGGTTTTGGACCAGTTAAAAATCCTATTCTCAACCTATGTCAAAAGAGAAAAGGCACGATACCAATTCCATATTAACAATTATTACATATCACTTTCCTGATTTCATCAGACAGACAATTGTGACCTGGGGACAAAAGGATCTAGATAATTAAAATATTCTAATAAAACTACTTCTTATTTCAAAAATCAATTTAAGTGTACATTTAAAACAAGATTGACCATGTGTTTCCAAATGTGCCCTTTCATACCTGATATCAAAAACCTGACTGGTCCCACTACAATGTTAGATAAACAGCCAATAATCTTTGATTATTGGAGGTGAATAAAGCGAATAAAAGGCCTATGTTAATATTAATAATGAAACTAATATTTTAAGACAAGCAGACTACAAGCATTTTAAATGAAAAAATTTGTCTAGACTAAAAGATACTGAGGTACTGTCTCTGGCTCTATTAGATCTAGTGTCAAGTTAGAGACACAGGGCCTTACCCGGAGGAAATGATTTTTGAAAAAGAGTCAGCTCTGATGACACGTCCATCAACATCCATGGAAAGAAATGTTGGTACCCTGAACTTAAAATGAAAAATAAAAAATACTGTTGATCTAAAATCTCTGTTAGTCACTGTATGATTATTCTGAATAGAGAGTAGACAGGAGATGGATTTGGATAACAACAGTACAAATATTCTCTTACCTTTATTTCAACCCTTTAACATGGAATAACAAACAAAGATGCATGTTCTTTTATTAGCATCTGCTTGTCTTCATGGCTTTTCTGCCAAAAACACACACAAGGGCTCATTATTTGCTTCAGATGCCATTATTATGAACTTAGGGAAACTTCAAACAGGCCCTCTTTGCCCCAGAGGTTGAAATCCAGGATTAACAGACTTACAGGAGGGACTCCAGGAACACTAGTTTGAACAAGACTATAATGAAGATGGCCAGCAGCACTCAAGGGTATTCAGAGAGAGAGCTGATCCTTACGATCGGCAGAAAGAAAAATGATGCGAATGAAGATGAGAAATTAGTCAATATGAAAGACTGACTTCAACATTTACTTTAAAAGTAGCTACAAATGAGAAAGGAAATTTGCTGGCATGCTGATGGTGGGAGGCAGGAGGCAAAAGTGATGTTTTAGGAAACCCTGTAGAGAAATAAAGAGTTCTTATCTTTTCCCAGTATATTTAAGGGGCAAGCTGAATCCAAGTGTATGTTCTCTGCGGCCTTGAGAGCAAAGAAAGTGTTGGCTTTTGAAGAATCAGGCTTTGGTCTTACCATTATTATCATCTATCAGAAAAAATCATCATGAAAGGTAGCACACATACATAATAGTGTGAGAATCAATCTAAATGCCCATTACTCTGCAGTAAGATCCATGACAGAAATGACAGGGTGGCAAATGTGTGGTGTGCTGCCTGTGATGCCTCCTCTTGTGTCTATGGGAGACACTGCTCACGGAGCACAGCCCTCTTTCTCCTTCCGCTTGAGCATGGCTTCCTAACCCTTCTCATACATCATTCTAATCGGCCACCCCCAAGACACAGAAGTCGACAGCCAAAGATGAAACTCAGTTCACATCCCTGGGTGATGTTTGAGGAGCTGTGAACTTGGATGTGGAGTTCAAGGCATCCATCAGCCCTGATCTACTGTTTGCCCCAGTGCCTGGTACAGAAAGCCAGCTACTGTTTTGAAGGAAAGTAATTTCTGGAAAGAGCAGTAATAACAAAAAAAGAAAGGTACTAATTCCATAATAAAACTGGAAGACTGAAAAGTAAAGTAGTAGCAAATTAATCATAATTGATTTACTTTCCACGTAAAAGTGGATCAGTTCTGACTCTGCAGTCAGCCTAATATCCAACACAGTGCAGTAACTTACAACAATTTATCTTCTAATAGTGAAATAAGTTCATATCATCACTTACCTTGTTAAACTGGAGAAAATAGTAAGGATCATCTTCTATTATGAGGAAATCATATTTTCTTGCAAGCTAAAAAAGGTTGAGGTAATTGTTTATTTCTTAAAGTCATCTATTTCTTAAAAGTTATCTAAAATTAAATTCACTTGGAATTGTAATTTTTTGTACGCATTCAAAAAACTACTGTGTGTCTATTGTCTTAGACAATGAGGATAAAAAGATGAACAAGGCATTAAAGGCTCTTATTCTCATGGAAGTTAGATTCCAGGGGAAAAGACAGCATATACAAAGCCTGTGGATCATGAGCAGAATAAACATTAGATGACTGGTTTTATTTACTTTCTTTTTTTGAGAGAGTCTCGCTCCGTCGCCCAGGCTGGAGTGCAGTGGCGCGATCTTGGCTCACTGCAACCTCTGCCTCCTGGGCTCAAGTGATTCTCCTGCCTCAGCCTCCCAAGTAGCTGGGATTACAGGCATGCACCACCACACCCAGCTAATTTTTATATTTTTTGCTAGAGATGGGGTTTCACCATGTTGGTCAGGCTAGTCTCGAACTCCTGACCTCAAATGATCCACCTGCTTCAGCCTCCCAAAGTGCTGGGATGACAGGAGTGAGCCACTGTGCCCAGCTAGATGGGTGGCTTTAAAGTGCTGGGCAGCGCATTACAACAGGTGAGGGAAGAGAGTGACAGGGTAGCTATTTCAGGTTCAATCACTGAGAAGCCCTTCCGGACCAGGTAACATCAGAGCTTAAAATGACAGGAAGGAGTCAGCTGTGCAAATATCAGAAGAAGAAGAATCTAGACTAAGGGATGAATGAGGGCAAAGGCGGCAGGATACGCAAAATGCTTGACATGTTTAAGGGCTAAAAAGGGCAGTGCGGCTGCCCCAAGTGCAGCAAGAAGAATGATAAGAGAGAAGGCTTGAGAATAGACTGACCATGTTACCTAGCTCTGCAGGGCAGATAAAAGAATTTGGGCTTTATTTTAACTGCAAGGAGAAACCACTGGAGCCTGGAGCCCGGCTTTATACTGACATTTCTGCAGGGATGGATGTGGCTGGCTGCTGTGTGAAGAGTGTGACTGGTTAAGAGCACAGGGTGAAATACAGCTGGTGCAGTGAAGGCACTGGAGGAGTCCAGTGAGGGCAGGCAGGGGCTCAGAAGATGGGGACAGTGATGACAACAGAGAAAAATGGAGGGACTTGGATAAGCTCAGTGGTACAGTCCACAGGAGGAACTAGATGTGGGGAATGTGGGGCAAAGGAGGGAAAGACAGGAATAAAGGGTAACCATTCATAGTTGCACTCTTTATGGAGATGGAGAATGTGAGAGGCTGGAGATCAGAGGTTTGGGGTAGGGCAGTGGAAAATCAGGAGTTCTATTTTGGGCATGTTAAGTGTGAAACGATTATTAGATATCTCTGTGGAGATATCAGTAGAAAGTTGGATACAGAAGCCTGGGGCTCAGGGAAGAGGTAGGGGCCAGGCAATGTGGCAGTCATTGTGTATGTAATGGAATAGACAGACACAAAACTGGACAAGGCTGCCTGGGGGGTATGTAAACAAAGAAGAGAACGCAGGACAGAGCCCGGGAAGTACAAACAGAAGAACATGACGGTGTATGTGGTGTGTGTACATATATACGTGTGTGTATATATATGTGTATATATACGTGTGTATATATGTGTATGTATATGTGTGTGTATATATGTGTAAATATATGTGTGTATGTATATATGTGTATATAGATATACTTACATGTATTATATACATGTATTAGGTGTATATATGTGTGTGTGTGTATATATATTTAGAGTTGGAGTCTTGCTATGTTGTCCCGGTTGGTCTCAAACTCCTGGGCTGAAGCGATCCTCCCACCTCAGCCTTCCAAAGTGCTGGGATTGTGTAAGTCACTGCACCCAACCTGAGACAATATTTTGTACCTAAATTTTCTTTTTCTTTTTTTTTTTGAGATGGAGTCTCGCTGTGTCACCCAGGCTGGAGTGCAGTGGCACGATCTCAGCCCACTGCAAGCTCCACCTTCCGGGTTCATGCCATTCTCCTGCCTCAGCCTCCCAAGTAGCTGGGACCACAGGTGCCTATCACCACGCTGGGCTAATTTTTTGTATTTTTAGTAGAGATGGGGTTTCACTGTGTTAGCCAGTATGGTCTCCATCTCCTGACCTTGTGATCCACCCGCCTCGGCCTCCCAAAGTGCTGGGATTACAGGCATGAGCCACTGCGCCCGGCCTGAACCTAAAATTTTCTAAGTAAAAGGAACTGGCTGTAATCTTTCCTATGATTCCACTGGATGTGACTAAATTCTATAGAGTTTAAAAAGGGTTTGGTATTTATTTTAAAAAGCTATTTGTAGTAAAAGGTTGGGGGCACAGTCAGGTACATAAAAGAGACTTTCTAAAAGGCAAAATTTCTCTTATTTTTCAAAGATTTCTGTGGAGCTTCACATATGTTTGATACTTAAAAAAATGTTTATAGTGAAAAGCTAGGCATCATTGGTATCTCAGAGAGATTTCATAAAAGGGGAGCATGCCTCTTATTTTTAAAGAATTCTTGGTAACCTAAGATGACAAGGAGTAGGAAGCAGAACAGGCAAGTTAACAACACAGAAAAAACGGATATCAAACTTGGGGTAAAATATTAAATAATCTCATAAAATTTAACATCAGGCCAAGGATGCTATTTCTTTTGTATTAAAACATCAATTATGGAGAAAGAAAAATCTCATAACTAAGGAAAGATGCAGAAATTTATTGTGTCTAAATTTATTAGGACCCTGAGCATATATGATTTCCTTTTATTAAAAATTATATTCCTTGAAAGCAAAAGGCTAATGAGAAAGGGAGCTTGCATAGTGCTCTTCTAAAAAGTCACAAAGAAACAGGAACATAACTGCTTTAACCCATTCTACAGTACCTCATAGATTTCCTTTTTGCGTTCACTTGTTAATGAGTTTCCAGTAGGGTTGTTGCCACTTGGAACAGTATAAAGAAATTTGGGGGTGTTTTTCTGGGGATTCTTTGAATCTTCTGGTTTCCATCTGGAAAGTATGTCTCTTAGGGAATCTGGAACAATCCCATGTTCATCACTGGCAACATTAATAATGTTGCAGCCCAGTGGGTGCAGCTGTTGAGCACAAAAGAAAGCCTGAGTCAGTCGTGATTACAAAATGTAAGTGCTATTTTTTTTTTCCTTCTAACCAAGAACTTGCTCATTCATACCCTTAAAAATATATAAACCTGCACGCAGCTCTGAGCTCCTGAGGGTTGAGGTTATACACTTTTTTTTTTTTTTTTTTTTTCTGAGATGGAGTCTTGCTCTATCACCCAGGCTAGAATGCAATGGTGAGATCTTGGCTCACTGCAACCCCCGACTCCCTGGTTCAAGAGACTCTCCTGCTTCAGCCTCCTGAGTAGCTGGGACTACAGGTGCATGCCACCACACCCAGGTAACTTTTTGTATTTTTAGTAAAGTCGGAGTTTCACCATGTTAGTCAGGGTGGTCTGGATCTCCTGAACTTGTGATCCACCCTCCTTGGCCTCCCAAAGTTCTGGGATTACAGGTGGTGGTGGGACAATGAATGGGATGAGCAGATCACCAAGCAGTACAGTAGAATTTCCATATTTTACCAATTGCTAAGGCTGTACTGGCATTGCTTATAGACTTAGCTTTATACAAATTTGTGGAATCTCATTCATGGTTGAGCATTAAAATTAAAAAAAGGAACTTAAGAAATAATAATTGAATGAGGTTCTAAAAAAATTGCAAATGAAAAGCAAATACTCTTTTAGCAGTCAAATGTAGAATTATGCATAAAAAAGAACAATTCAGATCCTCCTTATGACAAATTTAAAAGGCCTTAATCTTATAAAGCACATCTACCATGAATAAAGCAAATCAACACTGCGCCATACAATAAACGCATACTGCTTATTAGCATATTTCCTCAAAGCTTGGCATACAGCTTCTGTTTTTCTGTTTGGGTATGTGAAAACATTTGTGTGTGTGTATATGCACGCTTTGTATGTAGACACCGGTTTTACATTCACAGGCATTATGTAATCTTAAATCTTAGGAGTTTAGGAAAGTAAATTATGAGTATCCAATCATTAAGAAAAAGTAATTATTTTATTTTAGTTTTTTTATTGTGGTAAAATTGTTGCCATTTTAAGCCTTTTTTTTTTTTTTTTTTTTTTTTTAAAGCGACAAATTTTTTTTTAAGCGACAAAGTCTCACTTTGTTGCCCGGGCTGAAGTGCAGTGGTGCAATTATGGCTCCCTGTAACACCATGCTCCTAGGCTCAAGTGATCCTTCCACCTCTGCCTTCTGCCTGGCTAATTAAACAAACAAAAAAACTTTGTAGACACGTGCTTTGCTATGTTGCCCAGTATGGTCTCGAACTCCTGACCTCAAGTAATCCTTCAGCCTCGGTTTCCCAAAGTGCTGGGATTACAGGCGTGAGCCACCTCGTCTAGTTCATTTTAACTATTTTTAGGAGTACAATTCAGTGGCATTAATTACATTCACAATGTGTGCATCTATCACCTCTGTCTATTTCCAAAACTTTTTCCTCACCCCAAATAGAGACTCTGTACCTATTAATCAATAACTCTCCATTCTCTACTCTTCCCAGCCACTGGTAACCACCCATCTACTTTCTATCTCTATTAATTTGTCTATTCTAGATGTTTCATATAATTGGAATAATACAATATTTGTCCTTTTGTGTCTGGCTTCTTAAAGTTAAAACACTTTCAGGGTTCATCCATATTGTAATATGTAACAGATCTGTGTTCCTTCTTATGGCTGAATAATACTCCATTGTATGTATATAACACATTTTATTTATCCATTCATCTACTGATGGACACTTGAGTTGCTTCTACCTTTTGGCTATTGTAAATAATATTGCAATGAACATTTGTATACAAGTATCTGTTTGAGTCCCAGTTTTCAATTCTTTCTGGGTATATACCCAGGAGTGGAATTGTGGGTCACACGGTAATTCTATTTTAATTTTCTGAGGAACTGACAAACTTTCCCATGGTGGCCATACCATTTTACATTTCCACCATCAATGAATGAACCCAGTGTCTTCACATATTCACTATTTCTTTTTTAAATAATAGCCATCCTGGTATGTGTGAGGTAGTATCTCACAGTACTTTTGATTTGCATTTGTCTACTTAAAAATTTTTTTTCCCCAAGCCTGAGTCTTGCCAAATAATCAGACTGCAGGTACAGCTGTCACACATTGTAGAGTACTAACCACTACACGATCAAGGAACTTGCAGCTTTCATATGTTGATTTATGTTGCTTTGCATTTCTCTAATCACTAATGATGCTGAGCATCTTTTTATGTGCTTATTGGTCTTTTGCACATGTTCTTCAGACTAATGTCTCTTTAAGTCTTTTGTCCATTTTTAAATTGGGTTGTTTATCTTTCTATTGTTGAGTTCTAGGAGTTCTTTATATGTTCTGGATATTAAAGCTTTATCAGATATATTATTATAAATATTTTCTCCCATTGTATAGACTCTTTTTTCACTTTTTTCATGTCCTTTGATACACAACCACGTTTAAATCTTCAAGTCCAATTTATCTATTTTTGTGGTTGTTGTTGTTCATATTTTTCATCATATCTAAAAAATCCACCAAATCTAAGGTCATAAAAATGTGCCCTTATGTTTTCTCCTAAGTGTTTGTAGCTTTAGCGCTTATATTTATGTCTTTGATCCATTTTGAGTTAAATTTTCATATGGTGTGAGGTAAGGGTCCAAGTTCTTTCATATGCATGTGGAAATCCAGTTGTCCCAGCACCACAGTTGAAGAGACTACCCTTTCCCCCACTGAATGATCTTGGTACCCTTACTGAAATCAACTGGATTTGTGGGTTTATTTCTGGACGCTCAGTTCTATTCTATTGGTCTATATGATTGTCTTTATGCCAGTACCACATTGTTTGATTACTGTAGCTTTGCAGTTTTGAAATTGGGAAGTGAGGGTCTTCCAAATTTGTTCTTTTTCAAGATTATTTTGGCTATTTAGGTCCTTTAAACTCACATCAATTTAAGGATTGGCTTTTCTATTTCTGCAAAAAAGGCTGTTGGCATATCGATAGGGATTGTATTGAATCTGTAAATTGCTTAGGGTAGTATTAATATCTTAACAATAGTAAGTCTTACATTCTACGAACAGTGGAAGTCTTTCCATTTATTTGAGTTTTGCTTAATTTCTTTCAGCAAAATTTTTCAGTTTTTAATGTACAAGTCTTCCACCTCCTTTGTTAGATTTATTCCTAGGTATTTTATTCTTTTGGATGCTATTACAAATGGAATTGTTTTATATATTGCTTTATATGTTGATTTTCATAAAAATAATATAAAATTTTTTAAAAATAAGAGAATCCATGAAGTTGGAATCAACAGAGCATAAAGGTCATCTCATTCAATTCCCCTACTCTAAGCTAGAATTACGTTTGCTGTATTTGTGTTAGGTGGCAGTCAAAAGTAACTGAGCACCTACAGTGATAGGCAATGTTGTAACCTCTTATGAAGTCCGGCAAGGCCAACGGTTAGCAAGTTCTTATATAGAGCTGAAATTATTTCCCTGTGGTTCCAGTTCTATCAACCTAAGGTCATGTACAAATAAATCTAATTCTTTTGTTACATGACTAACTTCTATGTATTTGAGGACAGTTTTCATGCCTCTCTTGAGTCTTTTCTTTCTGGGGAAAATAGCTCCAGTTCCTACAACATTCATCATATGGTATGGTTTCCAATTCCCTATTTACTCTGACTATCTTTCTCTGAATATGCTCCAGTTGTGGACATTTCTTTCTTAAAGTAGACTGCCCCAAACAAACCTAATTCTCAGCAATGTGCTCTGACCAGTGCAGAGCACAGTCAGATCAGCTTCCTCATTCTGTATATCACAGTTCCACGGGTCTAACTTTGGAGTGGAAAGTCCTAATTATACCATATTAGTATACTAAACTGACATATAATATGGTTGTACTTATGCATATGGTAATAAGATAGTAATAAAAAATAAATTTTTGTAATTTAAGTTACATTTAAAGTGAAATATTAAGAGAACTGGACATGATTTTATATAACCTAATTTTAATGCCTATACACTTGGATTTTTAAAAAGAAATGTATAAAGAAGAGGGTACATTTAACATATTTTGTGTATATCATTTATCATCCTGCTTATGGATAAAAGATGCTACTTCATTTTTCTGTGTATAGATTATTGTAAAGTTAATAAAATATTAACTTTATTATAATAAACTTATAAAACTTTTATTATAAGTTTTCTTCTTATTTACTACAACAGAGTTGCCTTTTGTAAAAATGTATACTCACACTTTGAAGAGTTCCTGAATAAGCAGGTTCATCTAGGAGGACATTATCTCCAGGGTTAATGATCATTTCAAACACCTAACAAAAGAAGCATAGGTTCACTTGTTAGTCAGCATAGGTTAGTACTGTTTCCATGCTCAGAAGCCCATTTTTTAGTTTGAGCTCACATGATTCTAGAGTAAGAATTAGCAAATTGTTTATAAAGCGCCAAACAGTAAACATTTTGTGGATCATCGTATTTCTGTTGCAACTATTCTGCCTCTATAGTGAAAAAGCAGCCATAGACAATATATAAATGCATGGGTATGACTGCGTTCCAATAAAACTTTATTTATAAAATTTGATGAAGGCCTGGATTTGGCTCTCAAACCATAGTTTGCCAACTCCTGTTCCAGAGTAAGGTGAACAGAGGTTTGGCTCCTAACATTCATTTATTCCTTTCATTGCTTCTTTGAAAATCTATTAAAGGTTTACTATAAGCCAGGCCTGTGTAAAGTGTCAGAGACAAAATAGCGAGCAAAATGACATGGTTCTTACTCTCATGGAGCTACTGATCCACTGGGAAAGCTAGACACCAGTTAAATAACTACCCAATAAATGTGCAATTAAAAACAGTGGTAAGTGATATTAAGTACAGATGCACAATGACATAAGAGCTCATTGTAGGAAGACCTAGGCATTGAGGGAACTCAGGGAAGGCATCCTGGAAGAAATGATGAGTTGGTGTAGGGGGTGACAATAGTTACATTTGAAAAGCCAAAATAATTATGTGTCTTGAGGCAGAAGGTAGAGAAAAGAGTGGTGTGAGATCAGACAGAAGTGGGCAGAGACCAACCATGTAGGCATTTGAGCCAAGGGAGGGAAGTAAGGATTTTAAGAAGAGAGTGGGGAGGGAGAGTCGCATGATCAGATACTCATCTTGAAAAGATCAATCTGACTGCAGTATGAAAGAACAAAAGAAGGGTGAGAATACATGTGGAAAGTTTGGAAAGTTTTTAGTATTGTTTGGGAAGTTACTGCCACAGTCCTGGAAACAGATAAGGGTCACCTTAAAGTACAGTGGTGACAGTGGAATTGTAGGGAAGAACTGAGAGGTATTAGGAAATGAAAAGTAATGGAACATGATTATGGACAATAGGGAAATGAGGAAGAGGAGGTGTCAAGAATGATGCCTAGGTATTTGGTTACGGAACTAGATAGATGGTGGGGGTGGTGCTATTCACTGAAATGCAAAACCAAAGAGCCACCCATATCTGAGTGAGAGGATGATTTGTTTTAGTGTGAGATGCCTTTGAAACATCCTGTGATGATGTCAGATGGATAGATGGACAAATGGATTTGGAAGGAGTTTGGAAGTTACTGGCATATGGTTGATCATGTGAATGTAAATGGAGACACCCAGGAAAAGTACATAGACTAAGGAGAGATGTTCAAGGACGGAGCTACAGGGAACTCCAATCAATAATGGCTGGGTAGAGGAGGACACTGCAAGGAAGGCAGGGCAAGTGGGCTGGAGGAGAACCACACAACATGCTACTGAGAGAGCTGGAGGAGGACAGTGTTTCCAAAAGGGCGGGGGAGACTTCCAGTTCCAAAATGGTGGTGTAGAAGCAAGTTGGCTTCATTCCCTCCCACAAAACCACTAACAAATATACAGTGCTAAAATTTTCACCAGAAACAACCCAGAACTCAAATATGAGGATGAGTCAGTTCCTAGGACTATAGAGAAGTGAAAAAACTCTGAGCAGATGGTAAGAAAAACATACTTCTGCATCTATGATACTCCTCCTCCCAATTCTGCCTGGCACCAAGCACATGGAAAATCTCCCCCTAACTCACGGCTTCTACACTAGAAAAAGTGAGATTGAGGTGGCCAAGAGTTTCCCCACCATCTTTGGTTCCCTGGCAGGAGTCCTGTCCTTGCCTTAACCCTTGGGAAGCATCATGATTGACTGGAGGAAAAAACATCCCTGAGGAAAGGCATAGACAAAATGGGGAGGCAGGACTACCATCCCAAGCCCTGGAAACTCTGCACTGTAACTCAGCAAAAAGGGCATGCCAAATCAGAGTGATTGTTCAGCAGCACCACACTGCAGGAGGAATGCTCCAGAGGTTCCTGGGTATAATTATTTTGCTAGCCATCTCATGCCAATGGAATAAATCCTTTGGGACCTCCCTGATTTGGGACAGGCTATTCTCGAATTATTTACTAAACCTGGGCTTAAGGTGCTACCTATGAAGATGCCAACAAGGAAGCAGTGACCCAGCAATAGAGATTTACTAAGCAAATATATCCAATAAAAAGCAAAGCAAGCCAGACAAAACAAACAAAAAACTAGAATAAATAACTAATCCTTCAATGCAAAAAACAGATGTATACCTACAAGAAACAATAGCAAACAGGAAACCATGACCTCCCCAACATGACAGAGCAACAATCCAGTGACTGATCCTAACAAGACGGCAATTTGTAAGATCTTTGACCAAAAATTCAAAATAGCAGTTTTAAGAAAACTCAGGGCTGGGCGCGGTGGCTCACACCTGTAATCCCAGCACTTTGGGAGGCCGAGGCGGGTGGATCACGAGATCAAGAGATCAAGACCATCCTGGCTAACACGGTGAAACCCCGTCTCTACTAAAAATACAAAAAACTAGCTGGGCGAGGTGGCGGGCGCCTGTAGTCCCAGCTACTCGGGAGGCTGAGGCAGGAGAATGGCGTGAACCTGGCAGGCGGCACTTGCAGTGAGCCGAGATCCTGCCACTGCACTCCAGCCTGGGCGACAGAGCGAGACTCTGTCTCAAAAAAAAAAAAAAAAAAAAAAAAAGAAAAGAAAACTCAGTGATCTTCAAGATAACTCAGAACAGCAATTCAGAAATTTATCAGAGACATTTAACAAAGAGATTGAAATAATAAAAATAAAACGCCCCAGAAATTTTGGAACTGAGAAATACTGAACTCAGAATTGTTGAACTGAGGAACTCATTAGAGGCTCTCAAAATTAAAACGGACCCAGCAGAAGGAAGAATCAGTAAGCTTGAAGGTTGGCTATGTGAAAATACAGTCGGGGAAAAAAGAAAAAAGAACAAAGAATGCCTACAAAATATAGAAAATTACCCCAAAAGACTAAATCTAAGAATCATTGGTCTGCAAGAGGAAGGTGAGCAAAAGCAAGGCGTATAAAGCTTATTTAGAGAAATAATAACAGAAAAAGTTTCTAAAACTTGAGACAGATAAATATCCAGGCCACAAAAGAAGGTCTGAGAACATCAAACAGATTCAATCCAAATAAAACTACCTCAAAGCATATAAGAAACTCTCAAAGGCTAAGGACAAACAGAAGATATGAAAAGCAACAAGACAAAAGAAGAAAATATATACATGAACTCTGATTTGTCTCGCAATAGATGTCTCAATGGAAACCGTACAGGCCAGGAAGAAGAGATATGGCATTTTCAAAGTGCCCAAAGAAAAAAGCAGCTGTCTAAGAATATTGTTTTCTTTTTTAATGGATTGAGATGGGGCCTCGCTATGTTAACCAGGCTGGTCTCGAACTCCTGGCCTCAAGCAATTTTCCCATCTCAGCCTCCCAAAGTACTGGGATTACAGGCATGAGCTACCATTCCCGGCCCATCCAAGAATATTGTACACTTGATCTTAGCCAGAAGGCTGAGAAGCGATCATCCAAGAATACTGTATCCAGCAAAATTATTCTTCAAATATGATGGAGAGATAAAGTCTTTCTCAGACAAACTAAAGCTGAGAGAATTTACCACCACCAGATCGTATGAAAAATGCTAAAGGGAATTCTTCAACCTGAAATAAAAAAGTACTAATGTGCAAAAGAAAACTTTTCAAGGTAAAAATCCCACTGGTAAAATTAAGTACGTGGACAAACCCAGAATACTCTATGATTGTAATTATGGTGTGTGATCCACTCATAATTCTCATATGAAGCCCAAACGACAAATCGATAAAAAACATTAATAGCTACAGCAACCTGTTAAGATAGGTAATATGTAAATTGAGGTATCTCAAAGCCAAAATGTGGGGGGAATGGAGTTAAAGAATAGAGGATTTTTTTGTGTGTGTTTTTTGCATTTGTTTGCTTCTCCAACATAAGATAAGTTGATCCAAGATAAGTTGTTACCTCTTTAAAATAACTTTTTATATCAATAAGTTTTTTTTTTTTCTGTAAGCCTCATGGTAACCACAGTACAAAAACTTATAATTGATTCACTAAAAATAAAGAGCAACAAATTACATAATAGTACCAGAGAAAATCACTTAACCACAAAGGAAGACAGTAAGAAAGGAAGAAAAGAAGAGAGGAGTCTCAAAACAACCAGAACACAAGCAACAAAATGCCAGTAGTAAGTCCTAACGTATCAATAATAACACTGAATGTAAGTGGTCTCCATTATCCAATTAAAAGGCATAGAGTGGCTGAGTGGATAAAGAAACAAGACCCAATCATATGCAGCCTACAAGAAACCTACTTCACCTACAAAGACACACAGTCTGAAAGTGAGGAGATAGAAAAACATATTCCGTGGAATTGGAAACCTAAAAAGAGTAGGTGTAGCTACACTTACATAAAATAGACTGCAAATCTAAGATTGTAAAAAGAAACAAAGAAGGTCACTATATAATGATAAAGGGGTCAATTTGGCAAGATAATATAACAATTATAAATATATATGCACCCAACACCATACCTCCCAAGTATACAAAGCAAGTATTAATAAATATAAAGGGAGAGACAGAATGCAATACAATAATAGTAGGAGACTTTAACACTTCACTCTCAGTAATAAACAGATTATCCAGACAGAAAATCAACATAAAGAAACAGTGAGGTAAAACTACACACTAGATCTAATAGACCTAATAGATATTTACAAAAATATTCAACCAACTGCTGCAGCATATACATTCTTTTCATCAGCACAATGAAGAGTCTGCAGAACAGACCATACCTTAGGCTATAAAACAAGTGTGAACAACAACAACAACAAAAATCTTATCAAATATCTTTTCTGACCACAATAATAAAACTAGAAATCAATAACAAGAGGAACTTTAGAAAATATGCAAACACATGAAAATTAAACAACGTGCTCCTGAATGGGTCAATGAAAAATTAAGCAGGAAATTAAAAGTTTTACTAAGAAAAATGAAAATGGAAACGCAATATACTAAAATTTGTGGAATACAGCAAAAGCAGTAGTAAGAAGAAAGTTTATAGCAATAAATGCCTGTATCAAGAAAGTAGAAAGACTTCAAATAACAATCTAATAATGCACTTCAAGGAACTAGAACAACCTACAGGATAGGAGAAAATATTTGCAAACCACCCATCTGACAAGGGATTAACAACTCAATAGCAAAAACCCCAAATAATCCCATTAAAAAACGGGCAAAAGATCTTAACAGACATTTCTAAAAGAAGACATAAAAATGCCCAAAAGGCATTTAAAAAGTGCAGTATTACTAATGCAATCAGAAATGCAAATCAAAACCACAATGAGATATTACCTCACCACAGTCAAAATGGCTAGCTTCAAAAAGACAAGTAATAACAGAGGCTGATGAGGGTAGAGAAAGGGGAACCCTTGTACACTTTGATGGGAATGTAAATTGGTACAGCCACTATGAAGAACAGTACAGAGGTTCCTCAAAAAACTGAAAATAGAACTACCATACAATCCTGCAATCCCACTGCTGAGTATATATCCAAAACAAAAATATCAATATATCAAAGCAGTATCTGCACCTCCATGTTTATTATGGCACTTATTCACAATAGCCAAAATATGGAACCAACCTAAGTGTCCATCAGCTGATGAATGGATAAGGAAAATGTGGTATACACACAATGGAATATTATTCAACCATAAAAAAGGAATAAAATCCTGTCATTTGCAGCAACGTGGCTAGAACTGGAGGTCATTATGTTAAGGGAAATAAGCCAAGTACAGAAACACAGATATTGCATGTTCTCCCTCATCTGTGGGAGCTAAAACAGTGGATCTCATAAGGATCTCATAAGGACAGAAACACAAATATTGCATGTTCTCCCTCATCTGTGGGAGCTAAAACAGTGGATCTCGTAAGGATAGAGAGTAGATTGGTGGTTACCAGAAGATGGAAAGGACATGGGAGAGATAGGGTGAAAGAAAAAATAAAGAATATAAATGTACTTATTACCACTGAACTGTATACTTAAAAATGGCAAGGATAGCAAATTTTATGTACATATTTTATGGCAACAGAAAAAATTAAAAATTAATTTTAAAAAATAAAATGGATGGGGAGATCAACAGTATTAAAGGATATGTCTAGGTCAAGTAATAGAAAGTTTGACAAATCTTTGGAAATTATGTGGATAATATGATTTCTACTACAATCACTAGAGCCAGGCAATAGATTTTTCCAGCCTAAATCAAAGGGGTCTATTATCACTAAATCATACATAAGTCACAGAATAATTGCTTCTTAACATGTGATGTTTCACAATCCCCAGTTTGAGTCCTTTTTCCTACCATTTTATCAACCCACATCTCACCACAAACAGTATGGCCATTATCAACTGAGATAGAAGACTTGACTTTTGTTTCCCAATTGGCCTGTGATGTTCAGTTTATCTTTTCCTTATGAGCTTTTGGCATCTTATGACAAACAGTATTCTCCTCTGAAAAGTTTCTAATTGACTTAAGCTTTACAAGACATCCTAGGACCAAAGGAATCACTTGGGTGGCATGCACATATTAACAGATCAAAGGAAAACCTAATTAGCATTGGTCCTTGAACAACATGGATTTGAACTGCACAGGTTCACTTATACGCACAGTTTCTTCTGCCTCTGCCTCCCCTGAGACAGCAAGACCAACCCCTCCTCTTCCTCCTTCTCCTCAGCCTAATCAACATGAAGATGACGATGAAGACCTATATGATGATCCACTTCCACTTAATGGTAAATATATTTTCTCTTGCTCATGACTATCTTAATACCATTTTATTTTCTCTAGTTTACTTTATTGTAAAAATATAGTGTATAGTACATATAAAATACAAAATATGTGTTAACTGACTATATTATCAGTAAGGCTTCTGGTCAAGAGTAGGCTATTAGTAGTTATGTTTTAGAGGAGTCAAAAGTTATATGCAGATTTTCAACTGCATGGAGTCATTGCCCTTAAATCCCTGTGTTGTTTAAGGGTCAACTGTAAATATATTTTCCACATCAGTTAGGGGACATACAAATTTCAAATATATTAAATTAGAAGGGAAGGCTGTTATCATCTGGGAGCATTGTTTAAAAGATGAGAGAGAAACACAGGAGCCTAAAATAACATGAATCCTGGAGAACAACGTGGAGGAAATATTAAACCAGATACATATTAGTGCCCCTGTAATAAGCATGTCTGTAAGTAGTAAGTTACTGACGTATTTAGCCATCTATGCTGTCTTCTTTGTATAACTGGTGCTGTAATGGATAAAGAAGAAACTGTCTTGAGCAACTTTCTGGAAGAAAAAGTCCATAGCACCCTTTCTTGAGGAAAGAATTTCATTGAAAAATAGTCTTATATCATTCTATACAATCACAAATGTTTCTCTTCAAGCAAAGACTCAAACACTAGCTAATTCTTTTACTTTTCCTAATTATATACAAAAAGGGTAAGATTTTTTTTAATTTTTAAAAACTTTAAAAAATGTTTTTACTACTATAACTCATTATTTCATAACAATAATTTAATTAAAATTCATTAAAGCAAACAAGATTACAGTTTTCATATTTCCATGAAAAAGAAAATACTCTGGTTTCAGATAAAGATAAATGGGAGTCAGAGATTAATCTAGATCTGAGAATGAATATAGAGAATCTTATTATTCATGGAAAACAAAGGAGAAAATATACCAGCACTTTGGGAGGCCAAGGTGAGCAGATTGCTTGAGCCCACAAGATCAAGACCAGCCTGTCCAACATGGCAAAATAATATAAAAATTAGCTAGGCATATTGGTGTACACCTGCAGTCCTAGCTACTTGGGAGGCTAAGGTGAAAGAATTGTTGGAGCCCAGGGATGTCGAGACTATAGTGAGCTGTGATTGCGCCACCGCACTCCAGTCTGCATGACAGGGTGAGACCCTGTCTCAAAACAAAAAACAAAAAACAAAAAACAAAAACAGAAAAAAGAAAAGAAAAGAACAGATTAAACTGAGGACCACAGATGTGGTCTCTTTATTGTGGCAACTAACCAGTGGTGTTTACATCTGTGGAGTTCCTGGAACCCATAAGGGAAGAAGATGGAATAACTAATGCCACGAGGAGAGGGAGAGAGAGAACCAATCCATGTAAGAAGTCAGAGATACAGACATATAAATAGATCTAGAGAAATGCACCCAAGAGGGGGACAAGATACAAGCAGTGGCAAGCACAGAGATTCCATAGACAGATATGAAAAGGAATATAAATTTTTTTTTCTCAGGAATATGAAGGTATGCCCTCTAAAAAGTTTAAAAATCATATTGAAATTTCCTAACTATAGGCAGAAATCAAATGTAACTTGAATTTTTGAGCCAGATGAAATTAAGCAGTGTTCACTAAGCTGTTGGTAGGAATTGAGTACTCCCTTAGTGGGAATCCTGCTTTAATGGTTAATAGGTCTGGATAATTGACCACATGCTCTGTATTTAATATTTAACAGATTAGGCTAGCGAATGATGTTAAGAACAGATAATTTTTGAAAGTCCTTGTGTTCACAATGAGGAAAACTAAGGGGAAATATTGATAGATCAACCTACAATATTTCTGCCTGGCTTTTGCTTACAGTCAACATCCCCTACCCACCCTTGCCCATCCCCGGCCACAACTGCTCCCACCCGCATCCTATGACTTGTCCTTTAGTTCCCTGTTTATAATTCTAGGTGAAGACAAGGAAGACTACCAGTAATCCATAAAATATGATTCTCTGTGATTAAGTGAGAGAGGACTATAGAAATAAATGCTTCCAATTCTCCATTTTGGCTGAGTTTTCCTTTCAGTCTTACCTTACAAAGACCTTGTTGGCTGCCAGATGTGACACATAGGTCCATTTGTCCTTGACTGGGTGGGTAATGGACAGTAGGAGGATTATGCAATTTTATTTGTAACTGTTTAAGCCAGGACAAAAGCTCTGGAATTCTAAAGCATAAAATGTATTTTTAAATTCATAGTAGTAAAAATCATAGTAATAGTAGTAGACAGGAAATAATAAATGACAGCTTTATCAAGCACTTTGTACACTCAATTAAAAAAACCCTCAAATGCTTTTTTCCAGTATTAATATTCCTATTTAAAAGATAGGCAGTAGACTTAGAGATTAGGAAATTCCCATAAGTCAATCAGCCAGAAATTCTCATAAAGTCAATTATGTAATCAATGAGCTGAGATTTGAATCTATATCTTTCTTATTCCAAACCTGAAGTCTTTAGAGTAATCATTGCATAATCGATTCTTTGTTCTCTCTAGGAAGAGTTCTATGGCTATCTAGAAGTTCAGGCTCAATAAGTTGTTTCTATTACGGAACGTTCGAATAAGACTATGTATATTTAACATATTATGTAACTAATGCATGTATACATGAATAACATATTTCAATATACTTTTCAATCACAGAAAAAACAAGGTTTTAATAAAGTATAATTTATAGGTTCTTCATAAATTATCCTTTGTCACTGGAAGAAGACCAGCTAAAGAAAGTCGTCAGATATGTTTCAGCTTGCGTTTAAGAAATTAAAGACATTTGAACCCATGAGGGCAATGTATTTGCATGGCTGCTTGTTTAGAAAGGGAATATAATTATTAAAAAATTGCCTGGGGACTTAAAGTTGCTGCCTCCTAGACCTTCCATTTCTTCATTTCTCCTGATATGTTTTTTTCACCTGGATATCTTCTCATTTTTTTGGACTCAGCTCTAATGGTATTTCCTTCTAGAAGTCTTCTTGGTCATTTGCAATTGAGAAGCAATCACTGAGGAGTGTTAAGCATTCAATATCCTTTCTGCTCTTAATTATCCTTTGAAAACCTTTCCCCAGACCTTCCTAACTATTGAATACTCATTTGGTTATTATTCAATGATCAAGTGAGTATTTGGTCACTGAATGACCAAATGAGTCAATGGCCTTAGAATGTTTATTAATGGGCCTTAGAATATTTCTTTAATATTCTTTATCAATGGGCCTTAGAATATTTCTCATGAAAATGAGCCAATAAAACTATGTTAAGTATTGATACTTACCCAGCACTCGGAGAATACTGAAGTGCTCTCTTCATCATCTCTTCTCCAAATTCGATGGTCTTTCCATTTTCTACAGTGATTACAGCAGTCTTAAAAGGAAACATGTTTGGATTTGGTAAGCCACCAGCCAAGGAGATCATCGATTTTGGTCCTCTGCTCGATATTTCAGCTACAATACCCATGGAAGAGAAGAAACAATTTCACTGAAGATTGTTATAAGCAGATAGTTAAGCATGCATTATAATCAATACAACTATAAAGTTTAATAATTTCTAGTGACAGAATGTGCCATGGTCTAAATGTTGGTGTTCCCCCCACATTCATACTTGGAACTTGATACTAATGTGATAGTTTTAAGAGGTGGGGTCTCTAGAGGTGATTAGGTCAGGAGGGATCCACCCTCCCGAATGGGATTGGTGCACTTATAAAAGAAGACTGAGGGAATGCCCTTGGCCCTTCTGCCATGTGAGGACACAGGTTCCCCTTTCTACCACGTGAGGATGCAGCAAGAAGCCTCTGTCTATAAGGAAGGGCTCTCACCAGATACAGAATCTGCTGGCACTTTGATCTTAGACTTCCTAGTCTCCAGAACTGTGAGAAATAATTCTATTGTTTATAAATTACCCAGTTTGTGGTATTTGTTATAGCGGCCTGAATGGACTAAGACAAACGCTAGTCTAAAATAAACATACAGAATAACTTTTTCTGGGCCGCCTCACCTGTGGAGGGACCAAAGAATGAAGGTGACCAAAGAGAAGGCAGAGGGATCAGGAAGACAGCAAAGGGCCACAACAGCAGAAGCCTTCCTCCACTTAGCCCCGACCTGTCTGTGAGCTTCATGGCCCACCCCTACCTCTCCCATTTACCTGGCCCTCTCCACTGCACACCCATCTGCACGCTGTGCCTGCCCCTTCTCAGCTTCCCAGGAAGAGCATTTCTCGATAGCACGCCCCCTCCCTTCCAAGGCCGTGCCCCACAGCAGTCTGCGCCTCTCTCTACAGCTGCTCGGACTCTGCTCCAGCAGAAATACCCGCCTTCCGTTTCAGCCCGAGTTCTTTGAGAACAAAGGCTCTGCCTATTTCATTTCTGCACGCAGAGTCTGGCTCAGCGCGAGAGTGCACAGGGGTACGCATGGATGCAACCAAGCGGTGGCTTGCTAGGGAACCTTTCTTAGAGGCTGTGCGAGGAATGTCCCACCCCAAAGGAGTGATGGTCGCCCCGTTTCTCACTCGCGGTCCGGATGGGAGAAGGGTTTCTGGCTGCGCTCGCGGCGGTGATGAACCGTGCGTAATTCATGTCTCTGACAGCCAAGCATCAAGCTTCCTCTTCAGTGGCTGAGGACTAGAAAAACCAAAGAGCCTCGTCAAGTCCTGCCTGCTAACTTCCTCACTCTGGCAACGCCAACGCGAGCTGTCCCCCCGCTGCGTCTGGCTTCCCGCGCGCAGTGCCCGGAGAACGCCGCCGAAACTCCCCGGCTGGACGCTGCGTTCGGTCTCCCGGTCCTAAACGGGTCTGGGGCTGGTGGCGAGCCTGGCAAAGTCCACGCCGCACGCGCTCCGGCGGCCGCCAGGGCCCACGCCAGTTTTGCCCCGCCGCGGGCCTCGCCGCGCCCCCTCCCGCCCCGCGCCGTGGCCTATGGCCGCCCGCCGCGCGCGCCTCCCCGTCCCGGATCATCGCCCTCAGAGCGCAGGGCGCGCGGGGGAGCCCGGGTGCGAGGCGCTTGCAGCCCCAGGCCAATGACTCTTGACCTCGCCGCTGGGAGTCACCAGAAGCCGGCGTCCGCGTTGGCCTGCCTAGGTGCCGGCCGGGAGGCCAGCCCAGGGGCTGCCCGAGGGGACCGGAAGTGCCCGTGATCCTAATCCTCGGGAACCATCTGGCGGCCGCTTGGGTCCACTGCAGGGGGCTCCCGAGCTGCGCCCAGCCTGGAGAGGCCACACCTTAGTTCCCGCGCGCTCCGCTGGCCTTCTCTCAGTCACTGGGTCTGTGCATTTTGCCCGCTCAGACCATGGCTATGCTAAATACCCATCTTTCGTTAGTGAAACTCTGGGCACTCTCCTGGGAAGCACCCCGGCGACCCAGACGAATTTCAACATCACTTTCTCGAAGATCTCAGCATTTTGGAGTGACGATGGAGTTCTGACAAAAATTTTTCAAGAATCACTCTAAGAGTCTCTTCAATTTTAGTGTCTACCCTCGCACTGAATTTCTGACCTTTCCTTAAATGAGAATTATCTTGGAAGTGAATATCCGGATCTTTTTGGGTCTAGCACCTTGCCTTTTTTTTCTTACAAAATAATCCTTAGGCCCCACCTCCCTCAACTTTTCTGCAGTTTCTCCTTCCTGAATCACCAAAATGGAATGTACAAGGTTTAACGTGAGCACTTAGTGAGGGAAGGGTTTCAGAAAACCTCTCTTTCACTTTTTAAAAATAATTATTTAATGGTCATTAAAATGAATGAACTGGATTCACTCATTCAGTACACATTTGCTGAGTACTTCCTCGAAGATTATTGGCTCACTGCCAAATGGCTCTCTTTTAATCTTTGTTTAATAGGTTGGTCAAGGAGCCACTGCTTTTATCTAGGTCCTGGCGGCAAAAGGCTGAGATAACCCAGTAAAATCTTTATGCTAGCAGCTAAATAACAAAAAGGGAGTATCATTAGTAAACCTGTTAGAAACCCAAGAGTCAAGATGCTTGTGGATTCAGAGACTTCAAGTAGTTGAAATGCCACTTGATGGCTTAACAGCTGGGTGTCTTTGGACATGTTGTTTAACCTTTCTGTGTATTGGTTTTCTCACAGTCCTGTTGGCAGGAATAAATCAGATAATCTGTATTAAACTAATAAGTGCAGTGGTCTGCACATTGTAAAAACACTCTATGAACATTGGCTGTTTTTATTAGTAACAAATGCTTTTAAGCAAAACTTAAGGACTCAGCCTTCAAATGTTTTTGACTAGAGAAGCTATTTGGCAACTTTTAAGGCATGTTCTCAGTTAATCCATGCACACAGATCCTTATCTGTTTGAGCTTGTCCATTCTAAAAGTAGTTGTCCCTGAATTTTTATAGAAGTTAACTCAGGAAGCACTAAAAACATCTAAATAAGGTGTAGATCAAGGTTATTTATGACTTGTAACTAGATATATTGATGTTCCTGGGGACTTCAGGCTTTTTTTTGATAGGGGGAGGGCTCTAACTGAGCATGGTTTCCTCACATACTTAGAAGAAAATTTAAACTTCGGCCAGGTGCAGTGGCTCACGCCTGTAAACCTAGCACTTTGGGAGGCCAAGGTGGGTGGATCACCTGAGGTCACGAGTTCGAGACCAGCCTGGCAACGTGGCAAAACCCCGTCTTTAGCCGGATATGGTGGCAGGCACCTGTAATCTCAGCCACTCGGGAGGCTGAGGCATGAGAATTGCTCGAACCCAGGAGGCCGAAGTTGCGGTGAGTCGAAGCTGAGATCACGCCACTGCACTCCAGTGGGGGATAAAGCTGGGGGATAGAGCGAGACTCTGTCTCAGTTTAAATGTTTTCCCTCTGGCAGTAGCAACCTGTTTGGTCAAAGGAGTTTGAAGTCCTGGGCCAAAAGACTAAAGGTTTTTGTAAGCACATGGATGCACTGGTCTGTGATTTATAGTATTTATTACTCACAGGCTATTTATTTTATTTTATTTTGAGAGACAGAGTGTCTGGAGTCTCACTTTGTTGTCCAGGCTTGAATGCAGTGGCGCCAACCATAGCTCACTGCAGCCTCGTCCTCCTGGGCTCCAGCGTTTCTCTTACCTCCGCTTCCCGGGTAGCTGGGACTACAGGAGAACACTGCCACAGCAGGGGAAGTGTTTAAAATACCTTATAGAGACAGGGTCTCCCTATGTTGCCCAGGCTAGTCTTCAACTCCTGGCTTCAAGTAGTCCTCCCACTTTGGCCTCCGAAAATGCTGGGATCATAGGCATGAGCCACCGTGCTTGGCCTCACACAGGCATTTTTAAAAATACATAACTAATTGATTTTCCCCCTTTCCAAACAGGGGTGACACAATTTAAGGAACCCAAACTGAAGAGACGTGAGGTCATCAAATCCTAAGGTGCAGGTTTTCAACCCTTAAACAGTTTGCTGAATTTTCTATTTGGCCTGCCCTGGAGTTGTACTACTGAGACGTTGGGGGTGCTGATTGATTACAAGCTGGCTGATGATTCAGGCCAGATGGAGAGGCAGAGAAATGGTCCATCAGGGCGGGCTAATGGAATGCAGGGGCACTGGGGGTCATGATCAGAAAATGCAAGGCAGAATATAGTCACAGTGGTGGGAAAGGGACAAGCAAGGGTTAAGTTGGGAAGAGCTTACCAGACAATAGAAGCTGAAGACTGAAGGTAAATTTGATTGCCAGAGAAACCAGACTTTGGATTTGTCAGGCGACAACAGCAGAAGGCTTCTCCTGAGGGACTAAGATAAATGAGCAAGGTTCATTGCTCAGTGCTGCCTTTTTAGAAGCTTGGCTTAGGACTGCCCGAGGATAGAATTAAAGACGTCAGATTCTTTCTCCAAACAGTTACTGAATTCTTACTCTGTTCTAGGAACTGTAATTGATTTAAAAAGATAACTAAGACAAGTCGCTACTCTTGAAAAGCAACTGTTTGTACATTAAGACGTCAATAATTTCAGATAATACAATGTTTGTGGCAGAGACAGGTGCAAGCTGCTAAGGAAAGCAGAGAGAAGGAAGTCTTTCTTTTCTTCTCCTCTCGTCTCCACTCCCTTCCCTTTCCCTCCCCTCCCCTCCCCACCCCTCTCCTTTTCTTTTCTTAAGTATCCCTTATCTGAAATGCTTGGGAACAGAAGTATTTGGGGGTTTTGGATTTCTTTACATTTTGGAATATTTGCATATACATAATAAGGTATCTTGGGGATGGAACCCAATCCTAAACAAGAAATTCATTTACATTTCATATATGCCTTATGCACGCAGCCTGAAAGTAATTTAATACAATATTTAAAATAATTTTGTGCATGAAACAAAGTTCATGTACATTGAACCACCCATGTAGGCCCTCTGTAGTTGTTTGGCATCATTATCATTCCTGACTCTGAATTTATATGCTACTGATAAGCAATCATTTTCTTGTAATTATTCACACATAGTACTTAACAGTAAAATATTTTGTTAATCGTTAGTACAGTGAAGAAATAATGTGTTTAGGTCAACTGAGCAGCACAGCAGCATCACCACAATACCTGTATCAGCTGTTAAACAACAGTAACAGCAAACAATGGCAGGATTTCAGTCTCTAGATATGGTGCTGTGTTTTGATTAAGGTTATGTAGACCGTATTTTGTATTTTAGGTAAGAAGAAATGTCAGAAGCAGTTGAAGGACCAGAAAGTGGGTCCCCTAGGGATGAGGAGTCAATCTGCTGGATGGATTTTAAAACTCTGTCCTCTAGAGTCATCTGTTTCATTAACAATGGTTTTTGTCTGAGAAGGCGCTGTTTGATTTCATAAGCTGACATGGTTTCTTGTTCTCTTATACATGCATGCTGCTCTAGTGCTTAAAAAAGCCCATCACAGATTTTCACCATGTCAGCTATAGACACTTTTCCTGCTGAGTTAACATCATCTTTATCATCCACTTGTGGCATCATTTTGGTGCTCAAAAAGTTTCAGATTTTGGAGCATTTTGGATTTCAAATTTTTGGATCAGAGATGTACAACTTATACAAATAAGAGCACATTGACAGGTTGTGTGTGTGCATGATTTTTGGGAGACACTATTCAGCCCGCTATCGTCAATGACTAAAGGAGCCTAATATGTAATAGTCTGGGAGATAGGAGGACAACCAGAAATTTACAGTGAGAAAGACAGTGAAGGAAGGGAATGTTTCGAGAAAGACTGAAGGGCTCCTAAGAGGATAAACTTATATCTTTTATCTCAGAGCTCCAGGATCATAGATTCAATTATCATGAACCAATAAGAGTAACACTCAATTGCTTTAAGACTGTTTTGGGTTCTTATGCCAGCCCATGTCTCATCAAGGAGTAATCATGAGATGTGTCTTAGTGTCTTAGTTCATTTAGTGTTGCCATAGCTGAACACCCGAGGGCGGGTACTTTATAAAGAAAATAGGTTGATTTGACTCATGATTCTGAAGGTCAGAAAGTGTAGGAGCATGATACTTGCATCTG